ATTTTTCTCAAAATTTTAGTGGCGACTCTTATTTCAGTTGGTTCCCGCCGTGAAGGCCGGTACATTCACTCGCGCGCTATCCGAGTCCCATTTTTCGTGTTGTATTTTTCGGGTGCGACAATAATTTACACTTATTGATTATATTACTTAACTGTTTGTGACTACATATGTGGACTTGAACTTGAGATTTGATAACCTTGCATATTGTAAAATGTGGTTTTGTGCATGAAAATCTATTTTTGCAAGTAATGAGTATGATGAAAGTTATATATAAATAAGTTGAGAAATTTGAAATGTTTATGTGATATATATGTTGAGTGTGGGCATGATCATGTTAGGAGTGAGAGTTCACCCGTAGGAAAGAGTAGTGGAAGTCCATATGGCATGTATCTCCTTAGTGTCTAGTGAGGCACGGTGATGGAGATTTTCTCCTTAGTATTCATGCGGAGCATCAATGACGCAGTGTTGGAGTAATAACACCTTGATTCATGTGCGATAGGGGGAAACCGTAGTCCAGAAGTGGGATAGGACACCTTTGACTGAGTGATTCTACCATTGAAGGTGAGCTTCGATCATTGTGAATGTGCACTTGGTCAAGAGCCTACGATTTTGGTTGGGGGTGAAATGGAGGTTCGGATGATAGAATGATCATGCTAGTGGTAAAAGATTTGTACTGATAAAAAGAGTATGTGGTGACATGCTAAAAGTATATTTTGGTGTCTTATAGTTTTACTCTTTTATGGTTGTGCATGTTAATTAATAGTAATGAATTATTCTGTTATGAGATGCTTATCTGACCACATGGTTATATTTTACAGGTGAGGACTTCGGTAGAGGCAAGGGGAAGGAAGGGACAATTGAAGAGTAAAGAGCATTGAAGTGTAGCTCTTTCCTATCTCTTTTGGGTTTGTAACGGATATTACTATTATATATTGCCAAGTTAAGAACATGACATTATTTTGGATATCATTTGTATGAATTTGTGATAAGTGTGCATATCTTAGTCCAAGATTGATGTTGTGGATTAAGTGTGTGAGCTTGGCCAAGTTACACTTACATGTGATATATATTTCAAGTGTTTTGTGTGCCAAAATGACCAATTGATTTGTGCGTCAAATTTTATCTGCCCCATTGTGTTATTGTCAAATGGGAGTTTGGTGGTCATTTTGAACGTAATTGCTTAATTGTGTGATATGAATGAATTGTTATGTTGTGTGTGGTCCATTTGAGGTGGTCAAAGTGTCTTTGGGGCTAATGGCATTTGGTATTGTAAGTTGGACACCCTTAATGTGTGTTTTGAAGTGAAAACAAACCATTTTAGATTCGAGTGTTTATCTTTTAAATGGATGATTATTTGAGTGCAAAACTAATGCCATTAGTTAGAGGGCTCAAAGAATTTAGTGTGGACACTTGAATCGCCCAAATCGAACATCGAATAGCGAAACAACGCACTTCAAAAATTTAGAGGGATGCCATGACAGCAATCTGCTGTCATAATAGTGGGTGCATGCCACGGCACGTGGTTGTTGTGCCGCAGTGCAAGAGACCTTTAAGAGACTTGTCCCTTTTGCCCGCCCGCTATGACGGACGAAATAGAATTTGCAGAAGAATGGCATTTTTAGCTAAATTTTAATGTGGTTTGTTTCCCATGCTTCAGCATTTGTTCTAAATTGATTTTTTAACTATGTTTGAGTTTAAACAATATTTTTAAAAAAGGTATTTTTTAGGATCCCAATGTTTTAAACTAATTATCTTCAAACCCTTGAGTTGTGGTAAATTCAGTAGGGGATTTTATTTAATCCTAGTTATCACAACGATGTATGAGAGTTGTCCTAATAATGTCAAGGCATGCATTACAATTAGTTATTTAAATGGTCAATTAGGTGTATTTGGTCCATTGAACTTGGTTCAAAACTCAAAACGGGATAATGGTATAAGTTTTGAATTTTGGATATTTGGATGCATGAAAATAATTTTCAAATTTAACTTTTGCATCCGGATGTTCAAATTTCACATACGGTATCGAATCGTAATGAAACTTGTACCATTAGCTAGCTTATTGAATAAGCTTCATGTGGACATTTGAATCACTCTAATTGGATATTGGATGCGAAAATAGAGCAAGTTGGAAGTTTGCCATGAAAAGCTGTCATGACAACAAAATGCTATCATGAACTAGTACGTGCACCACGACATAAATTGAGTATGCCATGGCATATGGTACAATAGTAAAATTGAGCCCTTTGTGCCATATGATACGGCATAAGTACCATAATGTAGAAAAATAACATTTTTGCCTTCTTTTCAAGTGTTTTACTTTCCAAACTTTTCCATGCTTCCCATATAGTTAAAAAAACCATTAAGTTTGAGATCAAACTACTTATTTAAAATGTTTTTTTTTTCGATCCCAAATATTCTAAATGATTTTTAAATGTTTATTAGATTTAAACCTACCGTATTTAAGGTGAGTTTAGGAGCAATTTAAAGCTCCTAATTACCATTCTTGATTGTGATTGTGTGGTGAATATTGATAATGTTAAGGTGAACATTACATATGACTGTTCCACCATCCTATTTATGGTCTCCAACACCCGTTGTTAGTTGCACCCAACAATGATGTAGGACTCAATAACATGGTAATCAATGTGGCACCATTAGAGGTTGAAGCAAGAGTTTAGTCCTTAGCCTCCATTAGTCAAGCTTCTTACACTCTACCAATTTAATGATCAAACGTTTGGGTTTTAAATAGTAGGGGCAACATTGCTCCATCTTAATTAGTTACTCCATCTTAATTAGTTTAGGGAATAACATTACTACATTGAATAGTTTATAATCAACAATGCTCCCTTGTGAATAGTGTAAGAGTAAAATTACATCTTAACCCTAATTTTTATTATAGTCCACCTTTTATACTCAACACAAATTAATAATGTATAATATTTTTATGACTTTCATATAATTTTTTTATTCTTAGTTATATGTGGTATCCATTCATCTTCCAATAAATTTTTTTGATACATGAAATTTCATCAACTTTATCAAATTATTTTATTTTAAAATAATTTTTTATTTATGTGTAGTATTGTTGATATTTTCAAAATAGAAGAAAGAAACAAATTATATGTTATTGTTGAAAAGAATCTTTTGTTACCCTATTGGTTTGCATTATTTGAATGGTTTTTACTACTTAAAACTTATTTACGCCTTTGAATGGAACATTTGGTTTGACTGATATATATATATATATATATACTCCCTTTCATATGCATTCTTACATTTTCTTTCCCTTACCATCATTACCGTTAAATAAAAATCCTTTTAATTCACATGTGCATTTTGCTACAAGTAGTGGAGATGTAGAATTTTGACAAGTTTTATGATAAGGTGATTAGATAAGTGGATTTGAGTAAAACTAACCTTAAACACTAGTGAGATGAGTGTAAACACTTCTTTTGTGTGGCCATCTAAGTTTGATTCTTTCTTACTAAGTGTTTATATCATGGAACTCTTTGCATATTGATAATTAATTGGATAGTTGATTGATGAAAGGTCATTGACACTTGAGTTTGCAACTTCTACCTCTTCATTTTCTAACTTAATTTTTTTTTCTTCTCTCAATCCTATTTTTGAAATGATTTTGTCTAGGAATGCAAAAAGCTAAGTGTGAGAAAATTTATATATTTTTATATATTTTTCTCTCACTTTTCTTCACTTTTAGCACTTGCTTTGATATATTTGGGAATCATTTTGTCATGTACGTGATTAAAGGGAAAAGACTAAATATTTTTTAGGTTAAAGCACATTTTCTTTTGTACTTTCATTCAAGGAGTGCTAAGTATCTTATACTAATAAATAAAATTTTTTTTCCCTAAACCATTTTCTGGAAGAGCAAAATCTCCCTCCCTTAGTAATTTGTTAATTGTCCCTTTTGCATCTTTGCTTTCTGGCAATGCTAACACTTGCACACAAGAGGTTCCACATTATACGGCTGACAAGTATGGCTCTACTTCACACAAATATGATGCCTCTTCTTACAGCACTTCTTCACGTGCATCTTCTTTATATCTCGAGCATATATGTTATGATGCTTGGGATACTTTGCTAGTTCGAAGTAGTGTCGTACCAAGGGAAGCTGAAATATTGCAGTTTAATTGCAATAATTTTGATAACTCTTCGTTTGCTTTTTCTTGCCTAGTTTCACTTGATCTTGATTTCTTGGGCAGAGAGAAAATCGTTTGGCATTGATACAAGTGGAAATGATGGCAAGGCCGCCCAATCACATTTTCACATTAGAATACAACCAAGGTGTCCTAAACTTAACCAATGTGCCAAAAGTTCAATCCAACACTGAGATTACACTCAATAGACTTAACCCAACTTATGCAACAAACCACAACATACCAATATCACATATAACACCATTTCAATCCTTAACCTCTTGATTTCAAAAATGGCAGGGGAGGTAATCAATATCAAATATCATAATCTATTACAATCATGCTATTCATACTTTTACCAGTATTTTGAACTTGCTAGATACCTTAAAATTACAAAGCACATACGCTATGGCCTGTAATGCAACTTTCCAATTAATCATACAAGTACATAACAAAATATGCCATCTTAGTTCACAATATCAAATTAGATTACACATATATAAATCAAAATATAAAGTCATTATAGTAGGAATAAACATTCCTTAGCCTCTGACACTTTCCTTTTATCCTACTTGGAGCTAGTGCCCGTAAAATATTAAAAAAAGAGTGGGTACAACCACTCAATAATCAATGTAAGCTAATATATGTTCATGAAAGTCAATTAATCATATATATGCAAAGTGGGCATACAAATATAGGAATCATAATCACTTTCATACGTAGCACATTGTAGTCATAATATTATCAACCATATGACAATTATCAATGAAATGCATGATCAATAACCTCCCTTATCACCTCCTCATACCTCTGACTAAAATCATGAGCTAGATGATAAATCAATTGTAAAACTAGAAAAGATTATATTATATTCCTCTCAATAACTTGCAATATTGTTGATCAAAAATAAAAGTATTTAGTAATGACAAACATCGATAACTAAATTATCAACAATTGTCCAAAATTTACAACAAATGAAAGTTATGGTGCATATAAATTGCACTACATAAGTTGAAGAGCTTATTAGTTCAATGGCCTTCTATATTTTAGGGAACCAAGGAGTCAAGGGTTCAAATCCCTATTAGCACAATTGGCTGGAATTTGACCATCATTGCCATTGCTAGTGCCAGAGCTCCGGCTACCAGTGGTGGCAGCCTCTTGTTGGCATGATGGCTTTGGTGACTGGGGATGGTGCACTTTTGAAAAATACAGAGACAAGGATATTTTAGTAATTGACACTTAAAATTTGGCAGTTTAGGGCGCTTCAACATTAAAACTGCATCCATATCATATGTTAATCTGTTTCATATTGTGACAAGATAAATAAAGGGAAACATACCAACAACAGTAGTCTCGTTTCAGGTATACTGCAAAGGTAGAAAGATCACATCACAAAATGGGAAGAGAGGAACTCAACTTCCTCGTGAAAGGTTGAGCATACTTGATTTCTCCTTTTCATTTAGAGATGTATATTATTTCCTTTGACAGATAATAATTTTTAGAAAAATATCAAATTTGAAGGATAAAAGTACTAAACCTGTCGTCGGGTTGAACTTCCGGCAACCGCAACACCACCACCCAGAGAAGTCAGTAATCCCAACATTTCCTTTCTTTTCATTTCGAAGCGATACATTTCTGTTTTTCAAATATAAAATAAGACATTATTTGTTAAAACAATAAGAGTGAGTATGTACAAGTCAGTTGACACCACATTGCCTCCTCCAATCCTTGAAAAGAATCATGTGGTGTCCTTCCATTTCCACACAAAAATTGAGTATTTCCCGCCTTCAAGAAGGTTGTCTCATTTTCTATTTTCATATAAATTGTCTGGTAAATACCTTGATCTGACATGCACATCCAGCTACATGCACTAAATTGTCAGAACCAACACAAGCATTTCTCCAGTGTTAGTAACAAGGTTTAATGCACAATGCATTCTGCTGCCTCTTCCAAGCCTATGCATCTGGCTCATAAAGCCATGAGAATCCCACAAGATGCAAGAGTTAAAATCTACCAGTAAACAACGAATAAACATTGCTTATTTCCTGCAGCTCCTGCTTAGCTTGGCTTCTTCAGAATGCCATACTACCAAGCATCCCTAGATTTATCACCTAGATGATCAAAAGCATCCAGAGAGTTCTCCCTCGAAAACCTTAAAGGACGATGATTCCCATTCCTCAAGCTCACTGATGTGCCTGTCTTCTCTTCATCCTCTGATGGTGTTCCTGATCTGGATTCCATTTGCACTTCCAGTGATCTATATCTCGGTCCACTTGATCTCAAGCTCCTCATATTTGAGGATCCCTTAGGAAATGGTGCATAAGCAGGTCCTTTAGGCACCAAAAAGTCCTTAGGAAGAGAGTCCATGTCCATTAAGCAATTTCGGGATTTTGCATCAGCAATCAATGCAGCCCAGTCATCTGACAGTACCAATGCATTGGCATTTCCCATGACCTGTATGTAATAGAACACTTCAGTACCAACCAAATATGAAAATGTAAACAAGAATCTATCATGAAAAACACATTTTCAAGAGATCCATACCCAAAGAGCCCTTCTTGCACGGGTAAGGGCAACATTCATGCGACGAATATCAGCAACAAAGCCAACCCCATGATTGGACGCACGCACACAAGACATTATAATCACATCACGTTCTTGACCTTGGAAAGCATCAACAGTGTTAATATATATATCCTTCCCTTCTTCTGAACTCAAGACTTCTTCAAACTCACGCTGGAGGCATTTCAACTGCAGCTTGTACGGAGTAATTATGCCAACACTGATTTTTCCAATGCCCAAAGATTTCAATGTTTTCTGAAGATGTTCATACAATCGAAGGCAAAACTGTGCTTCATGTAAGTTTTGATATGAAACTGATCCACCCCTGTGAGACTCTCGCCCATGTCTAATATCATAGAATAAATATGGTCTCAGTAAAGGGTCCTTGTAGTATGCTTCATCAGGCAACTTGACCACACTTTCACTATCAGTAAGACGTCCTTGGTAAAAGTAACTAGAAGGGAACTCTCGGATCTGAGGATGCATTCTATACTGCACAGACAACAATATTGTTGGGCATCCTGCATGCTGGAACCTTTCAAAAAGACTCCTACTATATAACAATGTTCCAGCTGCCTTGCTGATAACTGTGGCAGGAAGTTGCTGGGGATCTCCAACAAGAACACATCGAGCTGCACCAAGAGAGAGAGGAGGAAGAATTGCCACCTCACTGGCCTGAGCTGCCTCATCAATGACCACCATATCAAAACCATGGGTAAGGCGTGAGAACAACTTACGACCACTGCTAGAGACAGTAGTAAAAACTATCTCAGCCTCATTCGCAAAGCTTGCCTCAAGATTAGCACGGGCCTCTTCTAAATTGAAACTACTACCAGGACGGAACCTGCTTTCTAAAATAAGAAGGCGAGACATCTCTACCAAAACTTTATCCCTGCTTTCAATGGCAGCTGCAAGGTTTTGTAGCAATGCATTTCGATTCTGGTCCCGGGCCATGAGAAGTTCGGGGTCAACACCAACAGACCCTTGTGAACGAACAGCAGCAGCAGCAACATTTAGTTCTCTTTGAAGACAACTTATCTGCTGAGATAATTGCGCCTCCCGATTCTTTAACTGATGCATCCATCCTAGAATTTCTTCACGGCTCTTGATCAGAAGTTGTTCAGTCCTACGCTCAACAGAAACTGCCTGTGCAGCACGTGTTTGAGAATCAACCCCAACTCGAGCCACATCAGGCCGATAAACTTTCATTTCTCCATCAATAAATCCACGATCAAGAACACGTGCAAGAAGCTCATCAGTGGCAGCATTAGAAGGAGCACAAACCAACATTCTTGGTTTCGGGCAGAGTTTTGGTAGAGTACGGAAGAGATTCTGGTCCATATTTTGAAGAACTTCATCAATTGAGCCTGCAGGCACATTTTCTGAATTGCTCTCATTAGCCTGCTTGTAGCTTTCAGGAGCTAGTTTCTTAAGCAAGGAGGTATAGTAATGCTGATACTGCACCAGGTGGATGACATTTAGCATTCCCCAGACTGTATGTGTCTTTCCTGTTCCTGGAGGTCCTTGAACAAGGGTAAAGGGCCAAGGATCTTGCCTCTTCATTGTCCCACTACTTGTACCAGCAGCAGTGTGCATTGCGGCCCATCGGATTGCAGAGAGCTGGGGCTCATTGAAGGTTCGATGCAGATGCTCAACAAAGTTCTGTGTGAAACAATCTGGCATGGTTGGTGTCTGCTGCTCATATTTTGGGAAATGTTCAGAACTTGGCTGTAGAATTGCAGTTTGCATCTGTAAAATGAGAAATGATTAATGATTAAGAACTATTAAACCATGCTGGTTAGATATCAGAATGGATTTCAGCTTATACCTGCACATTTAAACGATGAAATGCATGTAAAGCAATATACTCCCTCTGTGTTGTAGCGAGAGAACCAAGCACAGTAAGGTACCAGATGCTTCCAACTTGAAGCTTTCTTAGGATATGATCATCATCAAGTCTGCTATAAACAACAACCATAACCAAGGATGTCCATATGAAAATTTACCAAAATCAGAAAGGGATCCATAACGGCAGAATCACCTGCTAGGATCACAAGAGTCCCCAACATAATAATGGAGAATTGCACCAGGTGGATCACGGGTATCTATTGGTATGTGTCGTCTGATTGTACCCACTACACGTCCAGTAATTTCTGGCTCTCTGTCATCCTGGAAAGATGCGCTGCTCCTCTTGGCTCTGACTGCTTGACAAAATCAAACGATCAAAATAATTGAACTAGATAATTTTATTAGAACTACTACTAGATATAAGACAACAAACCTGAACCAGGTCTAGGAGATGATAAAATTGCAACATCACCCTCCTTGAATGTCCATTTGGATTCATGTATTGGAAGAACTTTCACGTCATACCAACCTTATCACATGAAGTGTAAATCAAATGAAATACAAAAAATTTCCTTCATGTAAGGAAAAAGGGGAAACGATTAACAAAAATAGAAATAAATTCCAGGTTTTTATGTTGCAAGGATGGAGGAAGAAAATGAGTAGACTTGAGGAGAACAAAGTTTTTCAGCATAAAGATGGAAAATGGGTTAATATCAAGAAGTAGCTGACAATGAAACAGTCAAGGTGGAGACCCAAAAAAAAAAAACAGCTGATAAAAATTTAAAGCATCACTCTATCATAAACTAGGATGGTAAAGAGTACCTCTTTCTCTGGGCTCATTGGCCTTCACACGCACCATTATATGAGTATCCCTTGATACTGTTTCTATTAACTCTTCCCATGTACTGTATAGCTGAGCACGGCATTCCTCAAAAAGCAAAGGCTCGAATACTCTAACATACTCTTCTAATGATTCAAATTGGCCCGGTACACATTGCAGCTCAGTCTCCCCTGATTCACATTATCTCCAATCACTTACCAAAAGGAATCAAAACATAAACTCTATAACAGTACTGAGGAATATTGAATTGGTAGCTAGAGGTTCAAAAAAAAAAGGTTGGAGTCTAGATACAGTTAAAAAAAGAAATGGGTAGAAGAGAACGTGCATCTCAACTAATATTCAAGAATATTTACAATAAAAAGCCTTGACCAACAAACATAATTAAAACTTGCTAAAATCTCCCCATTGGTATTTTGCCCACAATCTCTTTAATATCCTGATAGGACCCAAGATAGGTAGAGAGAAAGAAAGAAGACAAATCTTTTCACCCCTGGTATTCAAAAGAAGAAAAATCTTTATTAAAATATGAATCACAATCTAACTTCATAAAGAAGTAAAGATGAAGGAAAATCTCTATTAGAATGAGCAAGGATCTTAAACTCATGCCACTAATAAAACCTAAGGAGAATCTCCCAAAATTACAATGAATCTCAAAATCTACTCCCTCTCTCTAGTAGCTTCTGCCTTATTCATAATATAAAAATAGATATTAAATAATAATAAATAAATCAGAAAACAATGGACTAGATCCTAACTAACATTGACTCAATAAGAATCAAATCTTAGTTGAGATATTTATAAATAATATCCCTTTATTATCTATGACAAAATGAAATAACAACTCTTAAAAATATGCAAACAAACTAGTCGACTACTTTGTCCACTTTCAACCACAATCCTATAATAGACGGCACTCTATCATAGCCATCCCCTTTTCTAGCCTTTTATAACTATAAACCTTATCATCAATCTTACCAATAGAACAATGGTATTCATCCTTTTAAACTAGAATTCAATGTCCCTAAAGCACTGGAACCAGCGTTTTGCCAGTAGATGCAGTGCATATTCAAGGCATCTAAGACAGTTTTGACCCATGTACAATTGAAATTCGTTCACTTTCGATATATAGGTATATGTGCGTTTGTGTGTTCAATCTGCTATCTACATGCATGTAAAAGTATCATATACCTTTGAGAAGGTTGACTTGTGACAAAAAAAAAAAAAAAAAACTCTAGAAAAAGCAACCAGAGACTTTAAATGGATATCGAGAAAAAATATATATTGTTTTTTATTTCTTTTTTTAATAAATATAACTTTTTATTTCTATTATGAAAATGTTAAATAGAAACTCTTACACAATTACTTCAGCCAAGGTAACTAGTAAAGAGCTAATTGATAAACATTATGAAAATGAATGAGTCATACTATCTAATGAAGAACACGTGACGCACACATATATTGTGACTGAAGTAACAGCTAAGAAAATTGAGTTAGACAACCTAAAACCATGGCTAGTCAACAGAATGTTGAGTTGGTACAACTAATTTTCAAAAGTGGCCTTTATAATAACTGTTGGAACTGGGCTTGCTTAGGCCCATTAGAAGTGTCTGACCAGTTCCCAATACAACATGATTATTAGAATATTTTCTTTTTATGTTTTATATCCCCAAATATATGGGATTTTCCCGTTTTAGTTTTGTTGCCTGATACGACCAGATTTGATCATACCTCCTGCACCTATATGTACTCGATTCTTCTTCAATGAAATAAGAAGAAAACTTACTCAAATACTAGTATGGTATCAGAACCATGAGTGGCGTGATGGACTATCGCTTAGCACTGGGCTTTCCGACGTGGGTCCTTGCCACAGATGTAGATCCTCTGGCTAGTGGGGGATCATCATCTTTGCGATCGAACTCGGCAGTGATAGATTTGTCTTTGCGATCAAACTCAACAGGGGTAGATGGTCTCTCCTCTACTGTGATGGGTTCATCCAACTTCGCTCTTCACCTCATCTCGCATCATCTACTGAACACTACTATCTCTAGTGGCCCCGAAGCATGTTGGTGATCATACATGGTCAACAAAAGGAGTGTTACCTAATGTGTATTCCTCCTCCACTAAATCCTGCCAAGTCCACATATGACCAATGGTGTGTAGAGAATAATTTGGTGATGGCTTGGTTGATTCACTCAATGATGCCAAAAATTAGTGAAAATTATATTCTTTCTATCCCTGCTAAGGACATATGGGACTTAGTCAAGACAATGTACTCTGTGAAGGAGAATACGGCAACCATATTCCAAGTCAAGCGCCAACTACGGCTACTAGTTCAAGGTCGTCTCACTATTACTCAATTCTTTAGTGCACTAAAACGTTTATGGCAGAAAATTGATCTATACAAAGTCCATACATGGTCATGTACTAAAGATGAGTTATACTACAAGCAATTGGTTGACCGAGAACCGTGTTATGAGTTTCTTTTGGATCTTAAAGACTCATTTGAAGATGCTCGTGGCTGAATTATGAGTGTTAAACTATTGCCGACACAGGAAGAGGTCTTCAACATGATTAAATGTGAAGAAAGTTAGAAGGTACTTACTAAATCTCACACGGGGTCTTCTTCTATCTCCATTTCTCCCTCTCTAGACGTCTCGGCCTTGGCTGTTCATGCAACACAAGAAGATTCTAAAGGGAATAAAGCTGGTCATTGGTGTGATCATTGCCATAAAAAGGGTCTCACTCGAAAGGTTTGTTGGAAATTACATGGTAAGCCCTCCAATCAGAAATCGAGAAGTGATAGCAAAGGCATGATGGTGGGACCAGCCCAATCAGATAATGGGTCTTTAAGCCCAGAGGAGCTTCTTGTTCTTCAAAAACTCTTAGACAAACATGGTAATCAACCTGCTCCTCCTTCTAGTGAGACGCACACCCCTTCTGTTACTCTAGCACAAGCAAGGTACTGCTCTTACTCAAGCACTCAGCAGTGCTTCTTCTTCTTCTAAAAATATCTAGATTGTAGAGTCTGGTGCTACAAACCACATTACAGGTTACAAGGTGCTTTTTTTGCATTTACTGAATTCAAAGAACATAATATGGTGGAAGTAGCTAGTGGGCAATTTGCTAAGGTTATGGGAATGGGAACAGTGGTCATTTCTGCAAACATAGTATTAAGAAATGTTTTCTATGTTCTAGAAATTAAGTGCAGCTTGCTATCTGTGCATAAAATTGGGCATCAAATTAATTGTCTTGTTTTCGACAAATTTGGGTGTGACTTTAGGATTTGGCTTTGGGGGGAATGATTGGCAATGCTAAGGAGTGGCGTGGACTCTACTATCTTCAACGAAACTTACCAAAAGCATGTATTTCTCGTGACCCTACCTCTTTGTCTGTGGATGATGTTCAATTGTGGCATTCTAGGTTAGGCCACCCTAGTCTTAGCTACTTGCAAACTTTGTTTCCCAATATTAGTAATAAAATTATTGCTGATTTCCATTGTGAAATCCATCACTTTACCAAACAAACTCACAATTTTTATCCCAGTCATTCTTACAATCCCACTAAGCCATTTACTCTCATTCATAGTGATGTATAGGGTCCATCTAAAATTGAAACTAATTCCAAAGCTTGCTGGTTTGTTTCTTTTATTGATGATCATATTCAATTAACTTGGATCTTTCTTATGAGGAATAAGTCCGAAGTCTTCTCTATTTTCAAAAGCTTCTACACGTTTGTAAAAACTCAATTTCACACTAAAATCCAAATTCTTAGGAGTGATAATGAAAAGGAGTATTTGAATTCTCAATTTACAGAATTTTTTAACCTCCATGGTTTACATCACCAAACATCTTGTGCATATTCTCCTCAACAAAATGGGGTTTTTGAAAGAAAAAATAGGCACCTTCTTGAAGTTGCTCATGCACTTATGATGCCTGGCAATGTGCCTAATCATTTTTGGGAGGATGTTGTTCTTACCACTGCATATTTACTAAACCTCATGCCTTCCAAAACTTTAAATTTTTCCACCCCTCTTCAGAAATTTCCTGAAAATTTCCCTAATTCTCCTTTAATTTCTTCCATTTCTCCTAAGGGTTTGGCTGCACCACTTTGGTTCACAATAAAGGAGGAGGCAAACTTGATTCTCGTGCTTTAAAATGCATTTTTGTGGGATATTCTTCATCTCAAAAAAGCTACAAATGTTTTTCTCCTTCTAATAATAAGGTTTATGTGACTATGAATGTCACATACTCACATTTATTGAAAATCAGCCATTTTTTCCCAAATCACCCATTTAGGGGGAGATGACTTCTGAGATCTCTAAGTATGAATGGATCATTTGTGAAACCAAGCAAGATTATTTCACTAATTCTGACCAGCTTGAGCCACATACTTCTATACCTCCACATCTTCAATCAGACTTGTTTTCCGCATACACTTCACCTCCAAATTCACCTTCAAATTCTGAAAACAGCCTAGAAAATTCTCACTCACTACCTACCAGCACTGAATCTTCATTCACTAGGTCCAGATTTCAAGACATCAGTCCGTTTGAACCTTTGAACCTCATTTCTGAAACAAATTCAGTTGACACTATGATGGCAGAACCTTTAAATGCATCTGAACAGCAACTTGGTGAGTATGAGTCCATTGCTACAACAAGTCAAAGTCAAGAGTCTGCACCTAAACCAAGTCTTGAAGACTTATACTGGCCGATTGCCTTAAGAAAAGGAAAAAAGAGTTGCACTCAACATCCCATCAGCAGGTATGTTTCATACAAGAAGCTGTCTCCTCATCTAAGAACCTTTGTTGCTAATGTTGAGAAGGTCAAGATACCCAATAGTTATGAAGAAGCTGTAACAGATCCAAAATGGAGGAAAGCTATTGATGATGAACTACAAGCTCTTCACAAGAACAAGATGTGGAAGCTTACTAAGCTACCTGAGGGAAAAACTATTGTGAGCAATAAGTGGGTCTTCACAATCAAGTATAACTCAGATGGAACGATCAATAAATACAAGGATCAACTAGTTGCTCGAGGGCTCACTCAAACCTATGGCATTGATTATCAAGAAACCTTTGCTCCAGTAGCTAAACTTAACACTGTTAACGTTTTGTTATCTATTGCTACAAATTTGGATTGGCCATTACATCAATTGGATGTTAAAAATGC